ATAAAAAAAAGCAGATAAAAATAAATATAAAATAATGTATGTTATTATCATTCTAAAGGAATGTACAACACTCACAATTGTTTAAGAAAAAAAGAATTTAAATCATTTATAAATATTTCAATTCATCAAATTGTGATTTCAAAATGAGATTTATAAAATTGTTAAATCCTATTTTTCGTGTAATACAAATTCAAATGAATTTCGATAAAATATTCATATGAAAAATCATACTATAAGAATAACTTAAATTATTAATTATATTAATTATTAACGATTATATTAATTTATATTAATAATTTATTTATGTAATAATTAATTTGTTATTAATTTACGTTATTCTTATAAATAAAATTATTTTTAATAAAAAATTTTTTATTCTTTTTTTTAACAATCACAATTTCAATATCGTTTATACAGTTACGCATTTTTAAAAAATGAATTTCCAACAACCTATAGCATAATATCAATAATTCAATTAGAAGATATTTGATGAAAATATTTTCATTAAATTATAATTATTTTTTTTCTTTTATATATAGCTTCGATATGTGACAAATGTTAGTAAATAAAAATCGAAGAATGCGAATGTTAACGTGTACAAATATAATAATTTTCAAATTATTAGAAAAAAAAGAAAATTACAGTTTTTTTTAAGTTAGATTAAATATATTCATAGAGATATCATATATAAATCAAATTAATTAATTTTTTTTTTACTTCATCTATAAATTCAGTAGATTTCTTATAAAAATCTACATAAAAGCGTTTATCATATTTCATTTTTTATTGTATTGTCGGTGGTGGTACTGGAGGATCGTCATGCGAATCCTAAAAAAATTATGTGAAAATTAAAATATAATTCATATCGATAAGATAAGAATAAAGTTATAATATATACAAGTTGATCAAATCAATTTGTATATATTAACGAACTTACACGTTCATTGTTTCGATCTTTAGCAATATTATTATTTAAATGACGAAGAGACTGTGGTCTAAGAGCATACATAAGGGCAACAAATACAATAATTAATAAAATCATGAAAAAATTTAAGTTCCATGATGGAACATCACGTGGTCCTGGTACTGAAAAATACATAATCGAAACTTTTAATTAAATTAAAAAAATTGATGTCAATAATAAAATATAAAAAATGCTTACATCGTGACATATCAAAACATTCATTATCTGTGCAGTAATTTTGGCTCTGCCGCAACTGAAACGATAAATGTCATACGTGAAATATTTAGAATTGATAGAACTCTATAAATTAATAATAAGATTAATTAGTTTAAAAATATATTTAATATTTTTTAAAATTTAAAAAAAAAATAAATATGCAAATAAAATTAATGCTTTAATAAAATTATAACTATATTATTATCGAATATATATTCATTCTCTTACCATATTTTATATGTTTATTCATATTTGTTTGATTGCGTAACTCTTGCAAAAGAATTGGTAAAATAAAATAAATTCCCAAAAAGTTGCTTACTGTGACATATTTTTACCAGTCGAATGAAGGTTTTACTACTATATGAAAAATATGAAAAATACCTTATATTAAATTATACAGATTAAATATTATTCATCTGTATAATTTTTGATTATTTCGAAACAATTGCACTCATTATTAAAAATATACATTATTATTATAAAAACATATATAATAATAAAAATAAAAGGAAATATTATTTTTTTAAGAATTTATAAATTTTTAAAAATGATAGTGAAGTATCTTTAATAGTTATTTTTAAAATGAATAAAATAATTTCCATATATTAAAAATGAAAATATACATTAATTTTAATAAAGATTTTAATTTCTTGAATAAACAAGCAAAAAATTTCGATCATGGCTTACAATAGAAAGTAGGCGTTGCATAGCAAATTCATGGTTCCATATACATTCACATAGATCAAATCCTTCGTCGGCCATCACGAAACCTACTTGAAAACACAAAAAAATAATTACGATATTAGTTCATTATAATAAAATCATATATTATTTTAATTTTTATTAATAAATTTTATTAATAATTTTTATTAATAATAATGTTACCATAATAATTAAATAATAATTTACATAATTTATATTTATATAATATATACATATATTGTATATGTAGTATAAATGAAAATATAATATAAAATATCAAAATTCGTTTAAGACAACTATTAAAAATGTATGGAATTAGTAAGTATATATATATATAAAAGAAATCTCAAGTTTAATATTTTTTGATTTCAAATATCTATTATCTAATTATAATCATAATCATAATCATAATTCATCAATTATAGATAAAATATAGTTTATAAAAATTATAGAATTTGACATATATGAGTATTTTAATGTACAAGAATTTTTAATAACAATTTTAACAGCAATGTAATGGAAAATAGAAATAATTTCAAATTTTTTATCCTGAATTTAAATCCTATCACAGAAATATCCTTTTTTTTAAATTCTAAGAAATGATTAAAAAGAAATTATATAAATTTTTAAAATTATTGAGATATCAACTATTTTTTCTAACTTTATTTATTTTTATATTTTATTAAAGGAAAAAGGAAAGAGGAAAGCAAGCATATAAATATAGATTAAGATATAAATAATTAATTTTTATTTAATAATTATACATAGAATTTGATAAAAATAATAAAAATACAAACTTACTTTATATTACAAATATTTCGTAAAAGTTAACTAATTATAAGAATAATTATAATTGAAAGATCTAATTTCTGTGAAAGAATTTGAATTTAAGATAAAAAATTTAAAGTTGCTACATCACAATTATTATATATGGATCAATCATAAATTTATATATTATATAATATATTTTATGTTAGATACAAATTTATGACTTGTTTCTTAAAATTATTAGATCGATAGTGTAATAGATTTCAACTTTTAAATTTTACCGATAAGAAATGAATCATATTTTTTCGCTAATAATTCTACAATAATATTCTATCTATGTATATTTACAAGTTCCTATCTTTTTGTCTATAATATTTCTAATTGTAAAAATATATAAAAATATAATTATGAATACATATGTACAGAAGATGAAAAATGCAATTAAATAGAAAAAAAAGGATTTATTTAAATTTACATTTTATAATGAATTAGGTATATATATATTAAATATTGATAATATTGAGAATATTTTAAAAGAAATAAATTTATAAGAAAATAAAAAAATAAATAATAATATGAATAATATAACATTCAAAACTATTTTAAAAAATATCACAAAAATTAACAATCTTACTTTTGTATATCGTAATTTTATATGTAACTTTATATATTATTACAATTAAATATTTCTATTATATATTTCTATTAAAAATTATAATATTTTTTTTATAAAATACTATATAATTGAATAAAAAAATTATCTATATACATGTATAAATAGTAGGAAATGTATGGAAATTGTCATTTAGATATGGCTGACGTGGCGATCAACATAAATCGGGTATATTATTTAAATATATTCAATTACATTATAAATTTTTCCAAACTTTAAATACATTTTTTTATATACTGATAAATTATTTATAGCTATAATTATAATTTATAGATTTATTAATGCTAAATTTCATTAAAATTAGTGAATATTAGATTTGATTTAATATTTAATATTATAATTTTTTTGTTATACAATTTTATTCTATAATAAATATTATATTTAATGTAAAACAATTAAGAGAAAAATGTTATTATAATATATACGCGATATATCATAAATTATATTTTTGTATATATTTATAAAAATATCGAAAACTTTTTTTATTTTAATAATAACCGTTTATAATATACATTCAAAATTATATTATAATAACACAGATTATTAAAATTCATAAATAATATATTTTGCATATATTCTGTATCAAATTCAGAATTTAATGATAAATGACACGTGGTACATATTCATATATGTAGTTTCTTTATGTCATTTTTTTTTTTTTTTACTAAATTTTTTAATAATTTTTTTAAATACAAATTAAATCTTGAAATGAAATATTCTAATCAAAGATGATAGATTAAAGATAGAATATAATAATATAAAGAAGAATTCAACATTCTATAAAAGTTATGTTTAGATAAAATAATTAAAATTCGAATAGTATAAATAGAATATGTTTGTAAAATTTATTATAATCATATTATAATAATTAAAAAACAAAAAAGATCAAACAACAATTGACACTTAGCTCGTAATTCATTTTGGCTATTACCGCCAAATGAAAAGAAAAATACAATAAATGAATGACAGTTGGAATGAACAAAAATCGTTTAATGGCAGAAATTTTTACTCACCCTTAATATTTTTACGAAAACGGAAGATAATAAAATAAGAATAATTATGTTTACAGCACTTTAGTATTTGACACTACAACAAAATAAGAATCTATAACGCATTTATATTCAATAAGAGTCAGCCATTACGGTCGTCCTGTTGTATCTTGAATGCGTAGTCGAACTCAAGCTGGACTTTCATTGGTGCATTTCATGGTTATACATTGTACAGCGACTTGGAATTTGACAATTGGTTGTCTACATTAAAATGTTATATATTGCATAATATAAAACGCTTTGAAATTTTTAATAAATCATGGTTTTTAAATATTGATTATAGTTTTATTAACTTTGCAATAGTTGATTAATTGTAAAAAAAAATTATATTTTATTTAATGTTTTGTATATTTTATATACATTTTATATACATACATGTTAAAAATTTATATAATAAGGAATAGTATATAATATTATATAATATATATTTAAATAATAAAATATATTATATTATACAAAAAGATTAGAAATAAGAAAAATACAATATATAAATTTGATTAAAAAAAATTGCATTGGCAAGAACTTCATGACATATCAACTATCCTAATTCTAAATCTTGAATCTGAAACATTATAATGATATAATTATTATTCAAAATTATATAAATAATAATACATACCTCTTGTACTTTTTGCATTTCTTGAGTTAGTAAATTATCTAATATTTCTTGAAATCTTTGTCTTAACTTAACATTTTCTATATTGGCTATTTCAAGTTCTTGTTGCTGTCTTCTTTGACGTAATTCAGCTAATTCCGCGTGCAATGTTGCGAGACGTGTTTGCAATGAATCTATAATATTTAAATATGAATCATTTACCAGAAAAAAAATGCATATATAATATAATTATACCTTTTGTTACTGGTGCAGAAGGAGATTCTGTAAAATTTTCTGAAATAATATATTCTGAATGAAATTGTTCAACTTTAGCAATTTTTGATGGAGATGTATCTTCTGATTTTTCTATTTCTGTTTCTACATTATTATCATTTTGAAACATTTCTTTACTAAATTCTGTAACAAGATTACTACTTGTTGCTGTATTATTGTTAGACCTTTCGGAATATGTAGCTTGCATAGAATTAGAGTCTGATACTCTACTATCTGCAGAAAGACGACTGTTCTCATCTAGTTCCATTACATTTATATTTCCTTCTTCATCATCTTCTTCACTGTCGCTTACAGGTTCACCAAATATATCATGTTCCGCTATAAATTAAAAACATTAATGTTTTATTCACTAATTAATTTATCATTTGTATATTTCATTTTACATCACTTACCAACATCAAGACTTTGAGAAGTATTACCACTAATACTTTCTCTTTTAGTTTTCACTGTACCAGATGATGAGACTTTGCTTGGTTTTGATTGATCTTCATCTTCACATATTACCTCCCATTTAACATTAACTGCATCATTATCTACTCTTAATAAACGTTTTACTTCTTTCTCAATTTCTGGAGCTTCTACATATTTCTTCTTTAAGGTTTTCCTAAATCTTCTACGTCTAACATTTTTAGTAGGAGGAGTTATACCATGTGGCCATAAAAACTTTTTATCTACTTTATTGGGATCTTTTTTCTTTTGTCTGACTGGAGATTCTTCATCTGTAGTAGTATGATCATCTTCTTCTTTACAAATTAACATCTATGAATAATAAAATAGAATAAAACTAAAAAAAATAGAACTAATAAGTAAGTGAATAAATAAAATTGACTTTTTACCTGGCATATATCAGCAGTTTTATAGAAACTTTTGTTATCAATAGTTTTCAAGGATTCTACAATTGTTGGTAAATCAACAATCTAATGATAACATATTTTTTAAAATTATTATATTTATATACATATATGTTATTTTTATATAAATAAGAAAAATATCTTACTTTTCCATGAAGAAGCCAATGATCAAATCTAACCTCACCATAACGCATATCATTTTCCAATTTTATACTTAATCTATCTTTTAAAGATAATCCATTGCGTAATGTTTCTCGTAAAACTCTCGCTGGTTCCTTAAAAAATTAAATCACTTCTAATTCAATTTATAATTTTAAATAATTCAGGTTATATATTAAAACAATAAATTTACCGGTGGTAAACGTAAAATAAATTGACTTTCCAATTCTACTTGAGGCTCGCTACGATTTTTATAGTCCGTAGTTGGATGACGATTCATATTTCTTTAAAATTATAATTTTAATTCACAAGATTTAAATTGATATAATTCAATCGAATATCTATATTTAATAATTATAAATATTTATATAATTATGTTTTTCTATAATATTTTTTTACAATACAAATAACATATCAAATAAAAAATATTAAATAAAATATAATACAAAATAATAATTACATTCTTTACCAGTTGTACTTGCAAGTTCAATAAATACTACTTATAGCTTTTCTAGTTACCTTTATTAAAATAAATATAAGATGAACATAGACGTAGGTAAGTTCAATGAAGTTAAATATACATTTCAATATATATGTATAATCTTATATATAAAAAAAATTAAATATAAATAAAAAAGTGCATTATATAATTTAAGAGAAATATCTAACAAAAAAAATAAAAAAATGTTTTTATTTATATAACGTCATTGTGACGTAACCATGTTGTGTTTTTCTCAGTTCTATTTTGAAGTTAAATTTGAATTTATTATTTAAATATTTCTTTTAAGTTTCTTTCTTTTAATTCAAATTTGAACTTATTATTTAAATATAATATATAGATTTATTTCTACATTATTTATTTTAATTGCATAAAATAAAATATAAATATAAACTTGGATATCAATAAATTTCGATAAATAAAAAATTAATACAATTAATTAATTTACCAAACGTGTAACATTTAATACGTAACATTTATTTTTTATTTTTTAAGTCACTTTTTTTATTATTTTTTATTTTTTAAGTCATTGATAATAATTATATATTACGCAATCGTATTAATAATTTTGTTCAAAATATTCATATATATATATATATATATATATATATATGTATATTCATATCTGAAATTGTTTTAAAATTGTATTGATTTATAAGAAATATTTATTCTTCTATAACTTTTCTATTCTATGGTTTAATAAATATTTTTATTTTTACTATATATTTCATTGATTTAATTGAATAATAAATTTAATTGGATTGCATCAATTTGCATAATTATTTCATTATTTTAACATATTTTATTATTTTGGCAAGTAATTCTCATTCATTAAAATGTTTATACTTCATTAATTTTATAATAGAAAATATATTTGCGACATTTATGCGTCGTACGTTTTGATTGCAAGTAACTTGGCAGATCCATATGTTATTAGTAAGTGATCAATGGAACATCGGACTTCGCGCTCGCGCCGTCGTAACCTGACATCGATATACATATATCTCTTTCTTTGCTTCGAATGTTTGTTCTTACATCAATAAAAAATTATTTAATTTGCAAGTATATATATATATATTAAATTTAATCATTTTAATTTTTTATATAATAGTAAATATATGTAAATTTTATAACTTTATTTTTTATTTGTGCTTTAATATTTTTTTCTAAGTGTAATAAATTATTATAATAGAAATATTAACTGGACAAATAATTGTTCAAAATCAGGTATGTTATGGTTACTTTACGTAATATCTTTGTAGTTATTTATTTTAAAAAAAAATTTATATGCTTTTGATCATATAAATAATGAATGAGATATTTGACATATTTTACATATATCTTTTTTTCGTTATTTTTGTTCAGTTAATTGTTATTATCTCTTTACGCTAGTTTGTAAAAAATTGTATCATATAAAGTAAAATGGTATTTAATCATCATTACATAGCATTTTATAATTACATATATTATTCATTGTATTACATAAATTATCTATTGCTTTATATAATTTTTTTAATTCTAGTAATTATTAATAATTGAAGATAACTTTTTATTTTATATATTATAATTAATATTTAAATAATATTTATATTATTATATATATTTAGTTTGTAAATATTAATATTTTTAAATGTATTTTTAAATCTATCTATTTTATCTATTTACTTTTTAATATTTTATTATAAAATTATGTATGTTAAAATTATGTACTTAATATGGCAGATTCATAATGATTTCCCAACCAATTGTGGTACCTGGAGGTGAACATCGATCACAATCAGAAACTCATTCTATGTCTGTTGGAAATACTTCTGAGTCTTTTAAAACTATGACACCACCAAATGTAAGCAGATCATTGAGTAATCGTAAGTATCATATTCAAATAAATTTTATAATTTAAATTGACTTTTATATTTTTAAGAATAAATATATGATAAAAATTTAAAGAAATATTATTAGTGAATAATTGATTATAATGATTGATTAGATATAGATGTCAATTTAATTATATGTATAATTATATAATATATATGTGAAAATTATGTTATATATATTATATATATAATATATATTTGTATCAGAAAAATATAAAATAAGCAAAAAAGCTTTGTTACAAATTAAATTTAATAAATAATTTCTTTATATATATATATGTATTATTTTTTCTAATATTCAATTTTAATTTGTTATATTTTTTTTTACAAAGAAATACATAAACTTACATATACATATTACGATATATATATATATATATATTATATATTATACGTTATATTAATA